ACAATCCATCATTTCTTTTCCAAGCATTTCATTATTCTTTTTCTTACCCAACAGATAGGATTTAGGAAATGGTAAATCTTTCAAATCAAAGTTTTTACCTAAATTCACAACTCACTTCTATTTGTAAGGATCTGGATTGATGTATCTTGCATTTACTAGAATTCGGTTTATTAACTTCCATATCTTGAAGTTGTTTATCAGTTACAAGACGTCTAGAATCCTTACTAGTGGAATCATGTCCTATATTTGCTGTCTGGTTCTGCGGTTCTGCCATTCACTGTCTAATTTTTGTCCAAATTGCTCCTTGATTGTAGCTGCCTTTGATTCTTGATAATTTAGAGCATTTGTCTTCAATACAATAGTACTTGTGTCATTCTGGTTTTCCAAATTGCCATTTTGCAGAGAAACTCCTTCATCTTCCTCAACATTTCCAATCTTCTTTCCACTTCTTAAAGTTATAGCATGCAGTGATTTAGGATTTATTACATTATTTGAAGGTAAAGTTCCTCCTATTTGAACCTGTTGATTACTCATGCTATTGGAGAGTTGTGTAACATAAGAAGAAAGATTGGAATTCTTCATTTTGACTTCTTCCATATCCTTACAAATAGAAGTGAGTTGCAAATTTATGGTTGCTTTATCGCTGTCCATTTTCTGCATTACTGAAGTTAGTAAGGAAGTGTAGAAATTTTTATCTTCTTTCATTTGAATCAGTAAAGATTGCTTGTCTGCAGCCATTTGATTGTTCAACTGAGTCATCAATCCCTTTAAGAGTATATTGGTATCCTCATTTTTGCTGGAGTTATCCTGAATAGCTATGAGCACTGTGGATTGTTCAACCAGATTCTGATTTGTGCTTTGAAACTGTGATGGCCCAGCATTATTGGATGAGAATTTATTATGTGGCTGAGAACGAGTCCTTTTTTTGGGTACTAGTTGGGTTTATTCTGGTAGAAGGCATTAACCTCTTCAAATTTGGAAGGACAAACAACAGGGAGATGCATAGAAGATCCACAAAAGTCACAAGAAGGAGCTACAATTTGGTTGCATGGTGCTATTGGTCGAGAGGAATTATTATGAAGATTGGAAATCTCAGTTTTTAAACTCTCCATTTGAACTACCAAGTGCTGTAATACAGAATCAGAGGTAGGTCCATGACTCACTTCTCTCCCACATCATAAATGTCTCTTGAACTAAATTGTTGATTATTCCTGGCCATCTTTTCAAGAAGATCCTATTCGATTGTAGGTGTTAGGTTCAAAATCGAGCCATTGGCAGCAACATCAGTTGCAGCTTTTGTTTGAGGAAGCATGCCTTTATAAAAATATCAGACCAACTATTGTTTTGGTATTTGGTGATGAGGACAACGAGTTAACATTCCCACAAATCTAGACCAATAATCATACAGAGATTCCCCTTTATTCTGTCTGGCACTATAAATTTTCTTCTTTAATGTTGCTGTTCTAAAGGCTAAAAAGTATTTTTCTAAAAATAGCTTCTGTAATTGGGACTATATGAGCATAGCATAATGTTGAGGAAGAAACCTTAGCCATTCCTTAGCATCACCCAGAACTGAAAAGTGAAATGCTTTCTTAAGCACTTCTTCAAGTAACACAGTATGTAGCTTGAAAGTAGAACATACCGTATACAAATCTTGCAAGTGTTGATATGGATCATCCCTTACGTAACCATAGAATTTAGGAATTGTATTTGGCAAAGAACTCTTAATTTCAAAATTCACAGCATTATTCCACAGACCATATGGATCATAATCAACTACAGAATTATTTAACTCCCTAATACTTCCATTTTCAGCTTTAGGATTAGCATTGAAATGCTTAGCTTGTTTTCAGCTTCCTGTCCTTAAGCATGATTAACATTATTAGGATCATTAGGCCTAGGACGGTTAGGATCAAGATGTCGATTCATGATAAAATAGTGATCTATGAAATGTCCTAAAGAGGATTCTATATTAGATATGTGCATTGGGACAAAGCTGACTGAATCAATAGATGAAGGTGTAAGAGGAACAGGTGATGTTTCTGGTAGAGCATTGGTTGCTTGAAGCTGTTTGGCTTTTTCTAGATTTCTTAAAGTTCTATTAATTTCTCTATCCAAGGGATAAAATTCAGCAAAGTCACGGCTCATACAATTATTCAAACAGAAAGAAGAAAATCATAACAGATTGGTACTATCAATAGAAAATCATAACACAGCAGAAGAACAATGCAACAATTAGAATGAATATCCAAGAGTTAAAAGGCCAACAATAGCACCATTTGATTTACCCTTAGTTGTATAGGCAGTAAAAAACAATAGAGAAGAGGCATTCATTACAATGATACAATGTAGGTGTCGAATCACTTCGTCTAATAACTCTTTGAATTTCTAAGCAAATTTATCACAATTTATATTTACAGTATAGAGACAGAACAACGTTCAGATTAATGAAGGAAATTCTTTATTGAGTTTCAGGTGCAGTAACAAAATGGCAATGAATGAATACATAAACAATACTTTGGAAATTAAGAAAAACAATCAGAGTATTAATTCTCCCAAGAGTTTCGCTTCATCTTCATTGCTTTAATATGTTCTAAAATTATATGTTATTGAATATGCAGAAGAATTAAACACTCTTAACTGAGTAGAACTCCCCTGCGTCTCATTTCTCAGTACTTTAGCTTTAAGGATATCAGCCAATTGATCTCTCTCTTAGACCTCTCCATAATTTGCGCTTCAGCTTTCATAATCCCAATCTGGCTCGTCATTAATTGTATCTAGCTGGTAAGATTCTAATCTCGGATATTCTCAATCAATTCTTGTTCCTTTATCATTAATGATGCCACCTGTACCATCTTCCGGCTTAGCACATCTACTACTACGTTTGCCTTTCTTGCATGGTACTTTATCTGATAGTCATAGTCTTTGAGCAATTCCATCCATCTCTTTTGTCTCATATTGAGTTCCTTCTAGTCCTGCAGGTACTTGAGGCTCTTATAGTCACAGTACAATTTAATGGTTGCCCCATACAGATAATACCTCCAGATCTTCGAGGCATATACAATTGTTGCCAGCTCAAGGTCATGTGTGGGATAATTCTCCTCAAGAGCTTTTAGCTGTTATGAAGCATAAGCAACCACTTGACCTTGCTGTATCAACACACATCTCAATCCTTGCTTACTTGTGTTTGTATATACCACGTATGGCAATGTAGGATCAGGGATTATCAACACATATGGGAGTCGAGGTCAATTTCTGCTTCAGCTCTTGGAAGCTAGCCTCACACTTAGCATCCTAATTGAATGGTTGATTCTTCTGAGTGAGCTTAGTCAGTGGTGTGGCAACCTTAGAGAAATCCTATATAAACCTCTGATAGCACCCTGCGAGTCCCAGAAAGCTTCTCACTTACGTTACAGTCTTGGGCCGTTCCTAGTTCAATACGACTTCTACTTTACTTGGGTCCACAACTACTTCGTCTAGGGTAATTACGTGACTAAAGAACTTTACTTCATTTAGCCATAATTTGCATTTGCTCAACTTAGCGTATAGTTGCTTTTTTCGCAACGTGCTTAACAATATTTGCAGATGCCGTTTATACTCCTTTAGTGATTTAGAATACACTAGGATATCGTCTATGAATACCACTACAAACTAATCCAGGTATGGCCAGAAGATTCTATTCATGTAATCCATGAATATCGCAGGTGCGTTTGTAAGTCCAAACAGTATTAGTAGAAATTCATAATGTCCGTATCTCGCTTGGAAGACAGTCTTTAGCATATCTTCTACCTTGATCCTTAGTTGATGATAACCTTATATCAAGTTGATCTTGGAAAATACAATGGCTCCTGCCAACTAATCTAACAAATCATCAATTTGAGGCAACAAATATTTATTCTTGATCATCACCTTATTCAATTCCCAGTAGTCGATACACAATCTCAAACTACTGTCTTTCTTCTTTACAAACAATACTGGTGCACCCCATGGAGACCCACTGAGGCATATGAAACCTTTTTCCAATAGCTCCTCTAGTTGTTTTTTCAACCCTGCCATTTCATTTGGAGCCATCCAATATGGAGCTTTTGAAATTGGATTTGTTCCCATTACTAAATCGATAGCGAATTTAATTCCTCTTTTAGGTGGTAGCCTATTAATTTCTATTGGGAAGACTTCGGGGTAATTGCGTACCACTGGTATATCCAAAATCCCTTCTTCGGTCTCTGCCTTTACTGAGAAGAATACCATGTAACCTTGGCAACCCTATCTTAACCACTTATCTGCCTGAGCCGTTAAAATCAAATTCAATTTTCCTTCCATCTGAGGGGTCAACTCTTGGGTAGGAAGGATCAATGTTTTATTTTTGCAATCAAGGAGGCTATTTTAGGAGGACAACCAGTTCAAGCCAAGGATAACATCAATATCACAGAAAGTTATGTATATAAGGTCTAACATAGTGCAATAGTGAGTATACCGAACAATACAACTCAAACAAACAGCAAAAGTTAAATTTTCCATTCCGGTGAGAGTGGAAACACACAAGTCATATAGCAATATGTTGACAGTAAGACCTAATCACCTAGCGCAATCATATGATATAAACTAGTGGCTAGTACTCGAGTCAAATAAAGCATCCACAAGGTAACCATTCACAATAACCGTACCTTGGATCATCTCAGACAATTTACGAGCTCTTCCTGATTGAGGGCAAACATCTTGCCTTGAGCCTGAGGTCTACCCATACTATCGGCACCTTACAGGTACTCTTTGGAAAAATGTCCGGGTCATCCATATCTGAAGCACACATTATGACCCATTGTGCATGGCCTATCTCCGTGATTACTGCCACAGTGCTTGCATTCTCATCCTCGATGAACATTCTCCATACCTCCTCATCGGACTCCTCGTCTCGAATGTTTGTTCCAATTGAACTTCTTCCTTTTCTAGTTGCCACCAAAAGAGGTACCTTCCTAACCCGCTTTTGCCCCTGACTTCTCAGCTTATGGGGTTGCCTTAGCTAGTTCTATGTGATTCTGACCGTTCTCAGTGATACGGCAGACTTCCACTATATTGTTAAACACTTCCAACTGCCACGGGGCCACCTTTTCTCTCAACTCGGGCTTCAACCCTATGATTATTTTCTCTGTAAACCAAAGCTCATCATTCATGTGCCAGAGATATGTGGAGTACCTGGATAACTTAATGTACCTGGCCAAGTACTCATCAAAAGGCTTATTTACTGTCTTCTTAATCATAAGGAATTTCGCTTCCTTTTCATCTCTAACAGATTGAGGAAAGTATTTCAAAAAGAATTTTTCTTTGGAAACCTCCTGGGTGATGGGAGTTACATTTGCTTGGAGGACTAGTTTTTTTTTCCTCCACCATCTGTTTGCCTCTCCTTCTAGCTTGTATATCACCATATGAGCCTTCCTCTTAGATGGACATTCCAATATGGCAAAGATCTTTTCTAGCCGATTTATCCAATCCTCAGCCACTTGGATATCAAATGTCCCCTCAAAGGCTGGAGGGTGGTGTTTCCCGAATTTAACAATCCACTGCTACAGCGTATTAGGTTCTACAGCAGGTTGAGGTCTTACAGGAGCGGTGTCTTGTTGTTGTTGTTGTGGTTGTGGTATGGGTTGGGCTGTCCTGGCCACACCTTGTTCAGGTTGCTGTAACTGTGCCAATATTACTGCTACTGTTGTAGCTATAGCAGCATCTCTTTCTTGTTCTTGCCTACTTGAGTGGCTTGTATTTAAGCTATGGTCCTTTACTATTCCTCTAGTCTCTCCATAATTCTTTCCATTGGATCAATAGGGGGTCTTGATTATTCTCCACTTCCTCTCGATCCTCGTCTTGTTCTGACTATTTTGTTGTTTTCATCTTAACTACAAGAGGAATAGAATCATTAATTTACATAAACGATATTTATTTTACCTTTCAGATTTATATGTACACTAGGCACAGTCATCAAAATATATGGCCATAGCCCACCGCAGTTATAACACAACATACAATTATCCTACATTTACATTCCTAAAGCAGAAAAAGGAAATAAGGTAGTAACAAAAAGTTCTAAGTCATCCAGGATCTGATCAAAGTTATAAGGCATAAAAGATCTGCAGAGCTATTATAGTTGTGTATGCTAGACCCGGGTAGTAGGTAGTGTCTCTAATAGCACCTAGCACCAAAGAGCATCATCTATACACTGGCCCTCCTCGACTACCTCATTATGTAGTAAAGAAGTAGTCCAGGTATACCGCAGCATACTGGTTTTGGGTTTGGTTTATATGCCTACCTAGCTCAATAAATTCCTTGAAGAGGCTATCATGAATAAGGGTCTTTTCTTGATTGGCAGATCCTTAGCCTTGATTTTCCCCGGTCTCATGGTCTTGATAGGCACCGCTCTAATAGCACTAGGGCCTGCCTCACCTAGGTGTGGCTTGGGTCTTGTGGTACTTTGTGCATCCCCCTCTACCAACTTTACTATATCATTGGAGTCCTTCTCTCAATAGGTATTCTCTATCTAATTGAGGAGCTACTAATACCCTAGTGGTGGAGTCGGGTCATCAAGGTTTGAGATATGCGGGTAGTACCATTCTAGGCATGGCTCTCTCAGCATCCTCTGATTTACCATTTCCCCGGAGTCGCTGCTACAACAAGCCATAACTTTTCCTGTGCTAAACTCAACTACAACATACCAATCCACCATAAGGTATAATCCCATCAAGCAATCACAATCCATAATCATTCATCACAACTAATCACAATTCGCAATTCACTACCATAATTAACAACCAATCACATATCACAATATAAATCAGTCAACACAGTGTAACTTGGACATAGCCAGAATCCTTGCTCTGATACTAAAAAGTGTCACACCTTCTTTATTACCATATTATACATCAATTAGAACCATTAAAATCCATTTCTCATAGCTCAAGAATGAAAATTTTCAAGTCTAAAATCTTTCCAATTCAGTCTGTCTGTACATTGTTCACAGTTTTTTGGGCTAAATTTAAAAATTCATAACTAATTCTAGAAGAATCAAAATAAGGTGGTTCCAATTTTCATGTGAAGGTTGCTAAGAGTTCTTTAAGGAAAAACATTCCTTGGCCTCAATTCCATTCAAAACAGTACCAGAAAATCCGACAATGTGCACTATTCATATGATCAATATTTGAATTTCTAGTATTTCAGCCCAACTTTGGAAGGGCATAACTCATAGCACAAAACTCTAAATTTAATGGCTTATCACTTGTTTTAAAGCTAAAAATGAGATCTATAAATATACAAAATCTTACTTCTAGATTCTACCATTTGCCCATTATTTTATGCAGCACAAGTTTGACCTTATTTAGGGTATTTTTATCCCCTATTCACCATTTTCTTGAATTTTGTTTTCCCTTTTCTTTGTCCATACCGTTTAGGCATTCCACCATCCCATATTCCAGCATTAGGACATGTCATAAAAATATAATTTACATGATATCATCATTCAGATTCATTACAAACTTAACATAAAATTCACTAAAACATTACATAAAATTCCAAAATATTATAGCATTCACAAAGATCTCTTATCCTAACACCAATTCCTTGCCTTGATCCGTGGATGAGCCACTCCCTAGTTGAGACATAAATTGACATAGGGGGGATGAGATTTCATAGAAATCTCAGTAGCGATTGAATTATAATTATCATGTAAATCAAGCAAGTTAAAAATGCAACCCGTTATAAAACTTCAAAATATCCTCAAGCCACATAAAATCATAATTATCATCATGCTAGGAGAGGAACATCAACACTTTCATATTGACATAATTCTATGCATTTGGCCAAAGCACAAACCAAGTTCATCCAATCAACCATAACCACAATACAAGTTCCTCAATCCAAGCAAATAACATAATCACATTAACAAGCAAGATAAACAATCAAACTATAATTCAATGCTACCTTTTAACACTTGACACTTTTGGTCTCCTCAAGGGGCTATGATCCTCCTTAGTTTCTCCTCATGAAACCTAGATTCAAGCATAAATATAAGCTATATTAACAATTAAATAACTTAAACACAATGCTTTAATCTTAACCTAACATTTTCCCCCTTTTTCTTTGATTTTCAACAAAATTGTTCCTCTTTTAGAATCAATGATCTCTTGGCTAAATCCTATACAATTTTTCATGAGGAATTTACATATCCAATTAGTTTTACAAAAATTAAACTTCTTCACCCTCAATCAATCTTGACCGAATAGGGGGTATATAACTTTCAAAAATTTTATTTTTGATTTCAATGATTTTAAACACTTCCCTTTGGTATATCTCTACACAAAACACATTTTAAACCCATTGGAATCATTAAATCAATGCAAAACAAACTCCTCCACCATGTACTGTTCTTGGTCGAAATGAACATAAAGGACCCCAGGTTTCTTTCAAAAATCACTTCATACATAAACAAGCTTATTCCACTTGATATTTAAGGTTTTTATCTTTCCCTAAGATGGCATGTTCAAACTAAAATTTGGGTAGCATTTCTCCTTGATTTTCCAAGCCAAAACCCTAACCAAAACTAGTTTAAATCTTAGAGATAGTAAGGCTGGAACATACCTTGGTGAATCCTTGATGAAAATTGAATGATTCCATGCCTAAATCCCTCACAAAATTCAGTCAAGAAGTCTAGAAATAAAATGGCAGCACCTCCCCTTGTTTTTCCCAATTTTTCTTAGATTTTTCCTTGTATCTTAGGGGGTATTTATAGGCAAAACATCAACAGCAAGAAAGGTTTAGATCAATCCAAGTGGATATTTTCTAGAGTTTTCCAAGCTTTATCCATAAATTTTGGGTTTTATTTTAATTAAAATGGTAGGGTCTAGAAGCTGCATGAAATTGGGCCTAATATGGGCCCCACAAATGGTCTAGGCTGGCCCAAAAAGATGGCTCACAACCCAAATCAAAATCCCAAACCATTTTGAAACTTTATTGGTTACTATTCACTAGTAACATTCTATAATTTTTTTGAACCTTCCAAAATTTATTTTTCTCCATGATAATTTACCTTTTAATATAAGAGCATGATATGAAAATTTTTAGAATTTTTTGCCACCTCTAGGTATTTATTTTGAATTTTCTCCAATTAGGCCTTTATCAGTGTCACTGCGGAAAAATAAATTCTCTAAAATTAATTCCTCAGCTTCCAAGGCATAAAACCAATTTTATAAATTCAAAAAAATATTTATATGATTTGTCCATATTTTTTTCAGAATTATTGAGACCTCTAACTAATTAAAATAATTATTTTTCTCTGATTTTCTAATATTTTCCTGAAAAACCTTCGTTTACAGGAAATTCCATAACAATTTATTTTCATAATAATTCTACCTTTCAGGCCTCAAATTAGACATAAAGTTGTATTATTCATATGGTCAAATAGTATATTTTCAAATTCTCTGCTCTAACTTTGAGCAATCATATTTCTTAGCCCTTATTTTAAAGCTTAGGATGTGTACTAGTTGCTCACCAAATTTCATGGGAAGATTCATTCATTTACCATACTTTTGTTATGTCTTAATTTAATTGCTCATTATGGGATAATTTATCTCCTTATTTGCATTATCATACTATTATACACCATTATCATGCGCGCGGTCATCCTATTAAATCATTAAATACTCCTATGTATTGTCATAATCAATCAAACATGCCATTTTCATCTTTTCTCATTACATAACATTAAAGGCATATTCATGAATATTTCATCATGAATAATTACATAACATGATATAACATAACATGACATAACATAGCATAGCTTTTCTTAAAATTTTCTCCCCTTCTTGATTCCATACCTTTGCCAATTCTCTTCCATGCTTATGAAACCTATTATGGTTGGTCAAGGGAGTATAAAATTCAGAAGAATCTCAATGAAAAACATTATCATATATATATATATATATGCAAGGTGAATGTAAGTATATGAAATGCTTACCTCATCTATCACAAGCTGGCTATTAACATGCTTTTAAGCTCAATGTTTCATACTTTCATGCATAGCCATAGAACAACTAGAAATAGAGAATCATTCATTTACATATATCTCATTTTATCGTTAATTAACATCAAATACATCAAGCATAGAATAAAGGTAAGTTCACTGCCTTGTAAATCTATGCCTTTCCTCTTGCTTCTTTTTGCTTCCAACCATCAAGGTTGTTTGATCAACCTTTCTCATTCATCTTCCTTAATGTCCAATGGCTCTAATTACATCAACACATTAGAGCCATGGAACAAATAACATCCCTACTTTGCTCTCTTTAATATATTTTAACCATTTAACCTTAAATTTTTGAGCTTTAATTCCAGTCTTTCTAAAATTAACTCCATGCTATTCCCTCATAATTTTACATGTAGAATCTATTTTCAAGCTTAAATTAAACAAAATCCAATTCCTTCCCTTAGAACTCAACTTGGCCAAATGCATAAAGTTAGGATTTAAAATTTTATGTTTAATTCTAATGTTTCTAAACTTGCTTTATCACTTTTAGCCCATATAATTTTTCATTCTAAACACATTGGAAACATCAAAATCATCAAAATCTAACCTTAGTATCATCCCTAGCCTGGGCCGAAAATATACACAACATAAGGGAAAGTTAGATTCTTTTCATTTTCACCATAAAATCACTTGATTCTTGTTCCTTTCTAGCCTTTAAATATGATTCCATCATCGATCAATCTTTTTCATAACTCAAACATATTTGGACAGCATGAGAACACTTAGGATTTTATGCTTCTAAATCTCCACAAAAACAATAACTAAGGTTTACAAGACATAAAGCATTATAAACTATATTAAAAACCATCATCTTACCTTATCTTGAAGCTTAGTTGTATATGGAATTTGAAACTCTCTCTTTCTCTCTTCTTTCTCTTCTCTTCCTCTCCTCCATGGTCTCCCTCTCTTTTTTTTTTCCTCTATGTTGGCCAAAAATCCCTAAGCAATAGGGGGAAGGGGTTTTAGTTACTATTTACCTTGGGTTAATCTAAAGTACCTTTACCATTTTCCTATAACACATGTGTCTCTTGCATCATCTCCCTTACATCATTGAGCTAGGTGGCACAATTTTAGAAGAAGAAAGAAGAGGAGAAAACCAAGTTAAACTTGTGCACATTCTCTTCTTACCAAGTGTCTTTGCATATTTAATATGTGACTAGTAAATATTATTTTAATCTTTTTCCAAGTCTTTTTCGTGGCAAATGGCATAATTCCAACCTTGTTCTCTTCATCAACTTATCATCAAAATAGGGAGGAAAATAAAGAAAAATTCGTGCATAATTATATCATTAGTTATTCCTCTACCTATTTCATAATTTTACACCATATCGGGTATTTTTTCGGGTCTTGACTTATCCGGTATCATTGGTATATGCTTTGATACCTTTTTCTCATAATAAATAACTCCATATGATTAAATAATGCCAAACATTGGGCAAGATGAGCCTTTGAGGTTTCAATCTCTTAAAGGAAGCACCAAATTATTTTATTCCACTGTAACTTTAACCAAATAGTTTTTGATATTTCTTGGCTCCAAATTTTATTCCCCAGCTTTATGAACTCCCTTTCATTAAGAGAAAATTTTTAAATTTTTCTCAGGTCAAAGCTCAACATGTAAATACCTTTTTTTACAGATTTCTCGGATACCCCCTTTGTAAAATTTGGCTTTAAATCTTTTTAAA